TCAAAATACATTTGTCGCTGACATATTTTCTGCAATCATCAATGATGACATGTCTATGTTCCGGTTTATCGTGACATGAAAAAAATAACTCACCCACCTCCACCCTCTGAGCTTACTTTTCTATTTACCGTAGATCTGACATTTAATTGGTTAATCAAGAAACACACAATCATTTAACCACCAGTTATTTACTGTCGCCTGAAGAAGTACAACCATCGTCTTAAAACATGAAAGTTTTTGCGTACCGATTTCAAAATGTTTTTATTATAATCTCTTACAATGAAAATATAATAATATATTGCTCTACTTTGTATTGAGCACTCTTTTAAAAGTAAATGCTACGAACAGCAGATTTTTACTCCATCTGTTCTTTCTCTCATATATATATATATATATATATCAATCCAGCAGCTGCCAACGGTAATAATAATGGTAACACCTACATCCAAACTAATGGCCTCAGCATGGGGAGACCCATTAGGTTCAGCTAACTCAAATCAGCTGCAAAAGAATTACGCAACAATGTCTAATGGAATCAGTTATCAGTTATCTCCTGTTAATTCACCTTCCAATGTCTCCACCGCCTTAACCAGGTATTGAACTCACAACTCTTTGGTTCCTGTTACTGGATCTAACCAACGCTTTTATCCACTGTGACATATTTTCTTAGGAGTTGTGAGTTCAATATTTGGTTAAGGCAGTGGAGAGCTTGGAGAAGTGAATTAACAGAAGATAACTGATAACTGACACCCATTAGATATGACACGTGGAACTAGAACTGTCTACCCCAGCGAGCGAAATAAAGGATTCAGTTCAACGTTCCTACCACCTGAAGAAGGCCGGAGCGTAAATGACCGAAAAGTTGTGATAAATATGGCAACAAAGATGACAATGTAAATGTGATGTAAATAATGTATATATACCTCATCTCAGAAATGTAAATAGTGTATATATACCCCATCTTTTCTGAGGGAAATATTTGCTTTACACGAACTGTAGTTTTCTGAGAGAAAATTGCATTTGAAAGATCCGTCTTGATAATTTCCGACACACAAGGGAAATGTTGTGCAAAGTCTATATTATAATTTCCTACGGTTTGTGTATTTTTTTCATTGTAATAAGTATTTGTTTGTTTGCAAATTTCACAACTAAGTAAGAATCTTGGGGTTTTTTTCCCTACGCCATTCAAATTACTTGGGATAAGAGATTTGATGTTCTCTCTTCTCCTTTTCTTCCAACAAATAATTTTATGTTGCAGGGAACAAACATTGCTTAGAGTTACAAAGGATAGGAAGTTGTGGAGAGCTGTGATTTCTCACAACCTCAGAAGACATTATACATTAAAGTTGAAGAATTATCTTTTCAGAATTAAGTGATAGTTTTTTTAAATCGATAAAATTTACTATTCGATAATGTTAGTATCCAAGAGCAAATAAATGGTGTTCCAATAACTTGGACCGACTTTAAATGTAAATTAAGTTTAAGCGTCTAATGATTTTTTTTCTTTTTCTTTCACATTTAACAACTTAAGTCTTTTGGCAATTTCAACCATGGAAAGATTAATAATCAAACAACGTGTTAAAGTTATCGAAGCCTGTTACGAAAATGGACGTTTAAACAGAAATGCATTTCGTGCACTTCGCGATTTTTTGATCAACATAATTATGTTTTTAAATCTGAAAGAAAAAGAAAACATCATTGGACCTTTAAACTTAATTCACATTTAAAATCGTTCCATGTGATTGGAACACCCTATATATCTAAAATAGATAAAATGCGAACAAAGAAAAGTTGTCACAGAAATTCTCTTTAACCCAACATTTTCAGAAAGATATTTTTTTCTAATGATTTTTTATATTACTTTGTAGTAATGGGAAATGACAGACGATTACAATGGTTAATACGAACGCTACAGAAATTTACTACTCCAGACCATGAGAGAAAAATTTGTTTTATAATTTTCTGTTCTTCTTGCTTATGAAGAAACATTAATAAAACAATTAAGTTACTATTTTTTACTTGTTTAAATAATTCAATACAGTTTTAAGCAAATCTAATTAAAACTTGTTTGATTTATTTAGACAATGCGTTAATTTTTTCAGCTCCGCTCGACAGAGTTGTAGTTATGAAAAATGGCAGATGACAACAATGGTTACTATGAACGCTGAGATCGTAGTGACCGTTGAAATTGAAGAATTCTATAAAAATTTCAATATTTTTTGAAAATCATTCATACCCACTTCTGAAAAACAGCAACTTATTTTTAGACGGCAAGAGTATAAACTTTTAAAAATATTTTTTTAAATGTAAACAATATTCTTTCTAAATTACGACAAGTCAAATAATTCTCTTTTTTTTATACAAAAAGAGGAATTTAAAAATATTGAGAGAAACATTGATTGTTTATGGCAACTTTAAACGATTTGTTTTAAGAATAAATAACACAGATGAAGTATTTATCAAAATGGGATTTTAAAACTGTTATACAAATTAAATGTGGTCGCAGGGACTGGATAACTTTTCTCCTTGAACCGTATTCATGTGTATGGAAACCCACGTAAAAGTAAAGACCTTGTATCACACCCTGCTTTAGTGGGAAGGTCAGGTAAATAACGATTTAGCGATGGAGGCAGTTTGCTTCGACTGTTGTTAGGGAGGGACACATAGATAAAAAAAATAGCCTTACGCAAATGTATGAAAGATATTTATTCACTTATTGTATATAAAGAATATGTAACAATACGGATGTTGTAATAGAGAGACGAATTTTGTTTTAGAAAGACGAATAAGGTGGTGATCACAGATTCATCAAACTGGACACTTGTGATTATAGTTAATTAAGTGATTCTCATTGAATTGACCCATATCCATTTTAAAGGCAGAATTAGCCAGCAGTGGACGGATAATGTGGTTGTCTCACTTTCATAGGGCGTCAATATCGGGCAGGTGGCCTGAAAGTTTCCAGACAGATTATGGTCTTTCGTTGCTACGATATTTTCTAATCGTTATGTACTCCACATCTGGCCGTGTAATCTGATATTTATTGATTCATGTCGAGCTGGTGTGTGCATTCGCTAGCCTCGGGGAATAGGGTCAAAGGTAACACCTATCTCAGTTTCGTGTGGTTCAATCGATTTTCTTGCTTCGTAGAACAAAGCTTTTATTGACTTATAGAAGATACTATCTTGTTTTGACGCATTAGCACGCACACAGAAACGTTAACTGGCTACTTTCACTTTCGTTTTCATCTTTCTGGGTAATTTGTGGTAGCAACTGTTCTTTTTGTCAGTCCTTTTTTTTCTTCAATGACCCAATTTCCAGAATATTTTTTTATTCTCCTTGATGGTTCATTTAGAGTTCTTTTTTTCAAATGCTTATGTCTGCAAGAATGCAAAAATATGGTCCTCGGCAACCGAAAACATCCAAGTAGCGAGTTACGAACTGGGGTTATAAACATCAAGCAGGTGCAGAATTTCAAATATCTGGGAAGCGTTTTAACAGAAGGTGGAAAATGTGACACAGAGATCCGAAGCACGCATTGATGAGTGAATGAAGCATCCCAATGAAAGAGGTATTCCAAAAGCTAAGCAAGGTGCTGAGAAACGGAAAAAAAACAGTAGAAACAAATAAAATGCTACTGGATTGCTATGTGATGGCCATATCCTTATATGTTGGACAATTTCCCTAAGGATGAGGAAAAGCTAGAAAAAAATGGTTCTACAGAAAGATACTGAGAATTCCATTGAGATAGCGAGTAGGCAATAAAGAAGTCTTAAATTAAACGGTAACAGAAAAGAACACTTCTACTCAGAATCAGTAAAAACAGCTAGAATAACTTGGCCACATAATGAGAAAGGGGCTTTGGAAAAACGGAGAGCAAGGGAGATAGAATGGAGGGCGGAGCAAGCGAGCGGTGGAGCGGGGGCCTTAGCAAAAGTGGGGATTGCTAAAAGCCACATGAGATAGAATGTTGTGGAGAGCCATGATCGCCTATGTCCGGAAGGGAAACAGCACATAGAACAATAATTATTCGTTGTTAAAATAAACCTGCTAAAAGCAATTATGTGTTGCAATTTCGGCTAATCCTCGTCGCCAAAATGTTGTAACGTAGGGAAGGTTACTGAATAGAATTATCAAACGAAGGTTGGTAATGAACGATAATATTTTAGGACAAGAACAACACGTATAAGATTTGCCAGCGGCGCGTAGAAGAAGTAGTCAACTGCTAGAAGTAAGCCAAGGGAATTCCACAATGAATCTCCAACTGCAGGATATCTAGCATAAAACGGGTCGGGTAGCTGTTTCCCGAGATGGGACTCTGCCCTTTGACATCGCCGCGTCTGGGGATCCCCTCTACAGAGAGTTTGAACAGCACAGCTGGACACGAGTCTCCAACTGCAGGATATCAACCAACCGCCCCACGATTTCAGATGTGGCACAGGGGCGAATTTAATGTGGCGGTATCCGAGCCCGTAGGCTCGGCCAAAAATTCCCCGTAGACCCAGTATAAAACAGGGTCGGGTAGCAGTTTCCCAAGACGACACTCTGCCATTCGACATAACCTCGTCTGAGGATCCTCTCTGCTCGGAGGCAGAGAGTTTGACCAGCACAGCTGGAGACGAATCACCATACAGTATTTACTACTGTATTTATGTGAATGGGGACATACCCATTATCGTCCGTACCTATGCTACAACAATATGTTAATCGAGGTTCTTTTAAAGGACCCATAATATTTGTGTAAGAAAGTATCTTTTCATTATAATGTTGCGTCCCTACCTTTGTTAGTACGGCCTTTACGCCGTACCAATGCCCCGAAAATAATGGACTATTCCGTTTTGATTTCATGAAAGACAGAAAAACATATCAGAGACGCTACTTGATATTTGTGAGAAAAAAGAAAGACAGAAAGAAAGAAATGTTTAACTTTTTCTTTCAATACCTCAATAGAGGATTTCGTTTTGATCGCATGGACAAACGGTAAAAAACAGAGGCTTTACTTGGTTTCAACAGAGAAAATGAAAGAAAGAAAGAAAGAAAGAAAGAAAGTCGAGAAAGAAAGGCGAGAAAGAAAGAAAGAAAGAAAGAAAGAAAGAAAGAAAGAAAGAAAGAAAGAACTTATTAATCCTACCAATAAATAATGGATTATTCCGTTTTGACTGAGTGGAAAGAGAAAAGACACTCTGTTTCAGTGAAATAAATAAATAAATAAATAAATAAATAAAAAGAAAGAAAGAAAGAAAGAAAGAAGTGTTTAATATCTCCTGCTAATACTCCATACAGAATGGACTATGCCATTTTGATTGCGTGGAAAGAAGGTAAAAGGCACTAATTCGTTCCAGTGAGAAAAAGAAAGAAAGAAAGAAAGAAAGAAAGAAACAAGTGTTTACCTTCTGTTTCAGTGTCATGATAAAAGTTGTAGATTACAAATCTTTTAATTTCTACTTACTTTTTAAAACAGCGACCAGCATTCATAGTTTTGTTATTATTGCATTATTTTGTTATTATTGCATTATTTTGTTAAAGTTGTTAAGCTCAAATATTTAAAGATGCAACTGCGCCAACTGCGGCCCGCGAGCCGCATGCAGCCTGGCACGTAGTTTTCTGCGGTCTGCCAAAACATTTGGAAAAAAAAAGCACATCTAAACTTTTATAACGTGATCAAAAACTTGCCCTCCTTGTGCAATAGATTCGGACCCGTGTTTAACAACGCTCTACCCATGCGCAATAAGTTTCCTTTTCTCTTTCGATTTTGTCCTTGTAACAGTTAAGTCAGTAAATTTCCTAACATGAATCCTTCAAAGAAGCGCAAGGTTGGTGATGAATGCCGTGTCTTTAATGACGACTGGATACGCAAATACTTCTTTTGCAATACAGGTAATAAAGCAGTGTGCTTAATTTACAATGAAACAGTTGACGTATTTAAGAAATATAATCTGAAAAGGCACCACGAAACTAAACAGGAAGAATTTTGGAACCATTTTTCTGAGGACGAATACAACAAAAAAGCTGCAGAGTATGTTACGAAACTTAAGAAACAACAATCAATATTTGTCAAGCAAACTGGTCTTCCTGATAATGCTGCAGAGGCCAGTTTCATTGTAGGCTACAACCTCGCCAAACACAACAAGCCATTTTCGGATGGAGAGTTTGTGAAGCAGTGCATGGTGGACTGTGTACGTGTAGTGTGTCCTGAAGTTAAAGGGAAATTTGAAAATATTTCATTATCAAGAAGGACAATAGTACGACTCATTGATTTAATAAATGAAGAACTCAAAGAACAGTTGAACACTGCAAGCAAAACTTTGGTTTTCATTGGCTCTTGACGTGAGCACGGATAACGTAGGCACTGCACAATGACTTGACTGTATCCGTGGAATTGATACAAATTTCGTAATCACAGAGGAATTACTTGGTCTGGAATCCACGATAAATACAACCTTTGGTCAAGACCTGTGTTGTGGATTCCGAGATGAAATCCCGTCTCAAATGAATGACAAACGCAGGAATGAAATATAACAAATAAATGTATTGACGTAATAGTACAATTGGTAATACGGTTAGTAGATCCAGAAATGCGGTTAGTAGCAATAATAATATATATACAATCTGGGAAATTTAGTATCGAAGTATGACTTCTTTCTGAGTCTACGTGCTCGCAACTGTGACTCCTACAAAGCGGTTACATCACACTCTCACTCTCTGACCCTATCACTCTATCAGAGTATCTCTCTCTGACCTCCGGGTATTCACCGGCAGCAGTACAAGTACACACTGGTCGAGTCCACTTGTATGAAAAAGGGGTGGTCCCCATAACAACCTGTTTGAATGTGCTGTGAATTTTACTGAGAAATGTGGTTTGCCATGGAATAAAATGGCAAGCATGACCACAGAACCAATGTAGGAATGATTAAACTTAAAAAAAAAAATTAGAAGCACAAAACCTAAGCAGTGATATATTGACTTTCCAATGCATTTTACACCAGGAAAGCCTTTGTAAAGCAGCACTAGACTTAAAGCTTGTGATTAATCCAGTTGTAAATGTGGTGAACACAATACGATTAAGGGCACACCACCACCGCCAATTCAAATCACTGCTTGAGGACATGGAATAAGAATATGAAAGCGTGATTTATCACAATAGTGTTAGGTGGTTGATCCTGAATAAAGTGATAAAAAGAGTCTGGGCTTTACAGAAAGAAATTCTATTATTTCTAGATATGAAACGGATTTCATGTGATTTTGTGACCAAAATAGAATGTGATGAGTGAAGATGAGCTGATGTTTACAGCAGACATATTTGATAAACTAAATGAACTGAATTGCAGAGAAAGGGTTTATTTGCGCATGAAATGTGGAAAAATGAAAAATCTTTCAACACAAAAGTAGACTTATTTGTAAGGCAAGCAGGTGAGGGTAAGCTTTGCCAGTTCCCTTTATTAGGAAAAGAGAAAATACCCGAAAGTTTTTTTCTGTTAAGATCAGGGGTTATTTGCAGAGTTTAGAGGATGAAATCACAAGAAGATTTCAGGACTTCCAGAAAATTGAGCCTGAATTCAATTTGTTGTCTTCTCCATTCACTGCTGATGTCGATGCAGCACTTAAGGAGCTGCAGCTTGAGTTAATCGACATACAAGCTGATCACACACTGAAAGAAATGGATAATGCTGGGACATTAATTGAGTTTTATAAATCATTGTCTGATGATAAATTTCCATGTATGAAGAGATTTGCTGGGAAAATGTTCTGTATATTTGGATCAACATACATTTGTGAACAAAGTTTTTCTTGCATGAAAATTAACAAGAATAATTACTCTTTTAAATATTCTTTAACATAAATAAATTTGCAGGCAGTAATGAGGATCGCAAGAAGCAACCTCACTCCACATTTCAAAAGAATTGTTAAAAGCTGTGGTAGCTTGTCCCAATAAATAATTGAATATAAAATTTTCTCATAAATTATTAAAACTACCTCAATTGTTTAAGTTTTATTTATTGATTTCTATGCTTGAAAGTACACCTTTTCAGAAATAAAACTTCATTTTCAAAAAGTGCATACAATCGGCCCTCCGTCGATCTCTGCCTTAACAATGTGGTCTTTCAGCCAAAACATTTGCGTACCCTTAGAATAGGAGGGTTTCTACGGCTATTTTATTGTCGTGGAACTCGCCATGAGTTCATTCGATGACTAACTTCAGCATTAAGATTTATAAAATTAAAATAGAAAAACCGTGAATTTTTCAATAGTATTTCGAAGATCATTTTCGAATGCAGGAAATTTTTTTTTTTTTTGTCGTCTTGTCGTTTCCAGGCAACGAATTTTATTTACACTTTTCAATCAAATGTTTTCCCATAAAAAAGATATCTTCATTTTTACTCTATGTTTTGTTTAGGCGTAAGGATGCGACTATAGAATTGAACCCCATTAAATTAATTTTGCTAATGTCAGTACAAAGGAGACGATTCCATTGTTTATCTTGCTAAGGAATAAATGTTTCGTTGCATGAGAGGGGGTGCACATTCTCACCTGTTATTGGTTTAATTATATCTCATTCCTTAAGTACAAAACTAGTTACGATTTGGAATTATTCAAAAGAATTTCGTTATTTTAATACATATCCACATGGCATCAGTTTAAACTGACGCCTTCTGATCTGCAGAGATCTGAACACTAAGTATTCTATTATAATTGTGCTTGTGCCTCCGACCGTTGCGCCCTGCCAATACCTAATAAATAATGGACTGTTCCGTTTTGATCGCGTGTAAAAACGAGAAAAGACACCACTTCGTTTCATTGGGAAAAAGAAAGAAAGAAAGAAAGAAAGAAAGAAAAATGCTTAAAGTTATTTCAGTGAAATAGGGAAATGTTGTTTTTCATTTTTATGCGTCAGTAAATGAGATATGGAGAAAAATAAGTAAGAAACTCAGGTATTTTTACCTTTTGTATTTGATTTTCATTGGTCAATCGTGTTTCGCGCACATTCAACTTGTTTAAGCAATGTTGGTATAAATTCGATGTTCCGAGAAAGTTTCTTTATTCTGCCATTCTGTCGTATTCCGGTCCATATTCTCATATATATATATATATATATATATATATATATATATATATATATATATATATATATATATATATATATATATATATTAAAAAAACCAAAAATCGTTGATGGAAACAACGGATAACTTGCCAAAATCTAAAACTCTTATACAGTCCCGAATAAAACTGACAAAAATGAAAAGATAAAAAAAGCGTAAAGGCAAACCCCTACTTCAAAGCTTAGATTAATTAGACAGAACAAAAACGTTAAAATCCTATGATACTCAGACGACTATATATATATATATATATATATATATATACTCTTAGACTCTTCGCAGATGCGAATTGAGTCACTGTCGGTCACTGGGTCTGTTTCTAAAATAAATAAAAAAACCCTCTTTCATCCCTAACGTGCGCCGACGGCTTAATGGTTAGAATCTCCGACTGACACTAGCTAAAGGCAACCGGATGTCTGGTCACACTGATGAGCTACGAAACAGTCTGTCTGTGGATGACGTTATATATATATATATATATATATATATATATATATATATATATATATATATATATATATATAGTATTATTATTATTATTATTAATAGAGATCTTATAAGTATAAGAAACTATACTCGCTCGGAAAACCTTCAGTGCGTTGATTTGCAAATAAACAAGCCAATACCAAAGGGGGGAAAAAGGTATAAAAAAGAAAGAACCAAGAATATGTACGTTAACCGAAAATAATCGTCCAACATACGAGTTCAAGGCCCAACGAAAAAAAGCCCGATGCGAGTACCCAAAATAACTAAATAAAGTGCTCAATACAATGAGTAGAGCAGACCTAGTTAAACCTAGAGAGCCAGACAAACCTAACAAGGTTTCACCTAAGCCGATCATCAGGGAAAGTTGGCTTTTCCTGACGATCCGCTTAGGTGAAACCTTGGTAGGTTTATCTGGCTCTCTAGGTTTAACTATATATATATATATATTCAAAATTATTCATATCTATGCACGGGGTTAAGTATCTAAACTGTCAACTGTATGCAACTGATCAATTGTCAAAAAAGGCTTCGTATGAATGAAACATGTAGGTCATAGCGAGGATATTCCTTTTTCAAAGTTTCCCACATGGCACAACAGAATCTAAAACAAAGAACTCAATCAAATCAAAAAACACATTATTTAAAGACTACCAATAGCAGCAACAGCTAAAATGGATAGCACATATAACTTGAAGTGAAAATAATAACATAATCAAGATTTACATTCCACACTGTTTCAAACAAAGAGTTAGGAAGGATATCCTCATCAATACTGGAAAGAGTGACTGCACTTGGGAAACCTATTTTCCTGAAAAATTGTTTTAAGAGAAAGTTTTTTATAAATTCAAAACAATAGTAGCCGGATTTTCGATTAATTAACTCAGAAGGAAACGGCTAATATTACCAATTCTGTTGCGCAAGAAAGACAGTTACCCCATTGGACATATACCACCATATCTTTCTTGCCATAGCAATAATTCATCTGTCAAACCGCTTTAAATCCTGTCAGCCGCACACAGATAAACTGCCACCTAGA